GATTTTTACAAACCTTCAGGACATGGATAATATTCTTTTTATGATATGGATAATAAAGAAGATGGAAAATGGGGAATGCTGTGGGTCTGCTACCACTGTCTCCATTACTGTCCTCCATAACCGTGCCATAAGCTGTGCAACAAGCTAAAGCAATGTTTTCTATGCATAGATGTCACATTTCCTTTCCAACCTGATTACATTTGTGGAATGTTTCCTAAAGGGAACATGTTTCCTTGCAGCTAACAACATCAACTATAAGCCATATTCATTGTCAGGCACCTCCGAACAAGGACAAGGAGCAGTCTACTTCTCCTATATTTGATTACAGCGTGGTATGTGCAGATGTGTAAGAGCACACACGGATCCATACACAGTACACTGGAGCTTAATGCAAGATACTTAAAACTAAATGCCATTCCCACATTTCTAACAATTAGCAGTATAACTTAGTCAAAGTCACCAAACCACACTTTTTCTCAATGAAAACCAGAGATCACAGACCACAGAAAAGAAATTTAAGTTGAGAGGTACATGGTATAAACATCAGGCTTGCAAAATCAATACTGGCCTCTTAAAAGCAAATGATATCGAGAGAATTGTAAGGCAAATGATCTGTTGATTTTGGGAGAGTGTTATGACCAGTGAGGAACTCTATTGTTTTTTTTTTTTTTTTTTTTTTTTTTTTTTAGGTTTTTTCGAGACAGGGTTTCTCTGTGCAGCTTTGCGCCTTTCCTGGATCTCGCTCTCTAGACCAGGCTGGCCTTGAACTCACAAAGATCCGCCTGCCTCTGCCTCCCAAATGCTGGGATTAAAGGCGTGCGCCACCACCGCCCGGCGGAACTCTATTGTTTTTTAAGTTGACACAGACCTTCACAATTCTTTTGAGGGCTAGCTGGGGATTTCAGCTTAGTGTGAGGGCCAACAGGCTTCCCAAAGTCCAGTGCCTCTCCAAGTGTGAATCTGTCTAAGCCAAGCAGATCTTTTAAAACAGGATCAGTTCTCCGTTAACCTCTAACCTCCCTTTCCAGGTTTGGCAACATAAACTGCATACACTCTATGCATTTGTGGGCCTTAATGTGATCCTTCTTGTCTGTGAATTAAAGTAAATCAGTTGCAGTATATGAACTGAAAATTATCCAAAATTATATTTGAAAAATAGTAAGAGTTTGAAAAAATTTAAATAATAACAGATTTTTTTTAATTACCACAATGTAAGCTTCAAGGGATGCTAAGTCTATCCTTTTTGCTTACAGTTGTATTTATTGCACTGGCAATTATGTGTGTATCATACTAGAGAATAATTTGTTAGATATGTATTGAATGAAGAATATTAACTCAATAAAAGAATCAAGAGATTAAAGAATAGAGACAGGTGTTTTTATTTGTTTCCATTATTTGAATGCCTCCTCCAAATAAGGGCAATTTAAAATATTTGGTGTTTATTCTGAACTTCACTGAAGCAAAAGCACAGACAATACAAACCAAGTGGGAGCTTTGAGTATAGTTGTGTTAAGGTCTTTTCAAAACGATACTTCAGAGAAAGTAAACAGTTGACATGAAATGATTTGGGCCTCTTAAAAGGAATACAGGAACCTGAAGAATTATATACCGACCATAGATTTCCACATACTCATATACATATGCCAATTTCTTTCTTTATATGGGATATTTAACTACATGGTGTGCTTGGAAGGTAATTGCTTTGTTGTAATCTGCAAAACTGGTATTTGACTACCTTGTGTGAAGTAGGAAGATCAGATGCCAATACCGAGAGTTCCAAGTGTGGGGTTTAGATTCAGAAGTACTAAATGTTTTAGAAAAACAGAGCACGTTAAATTTTAAATCCATGATCATAAAGAAAATGTCAATAATAAAAAAGTTGAAAGCACATAACAGCAATAACCCAGTTACTCCTTAAGGACCTCTCATATTCCATTTCATGTTCTGTTTCTATTAATTTTATTAATGGGACTCTGAGGCTCCCATTAGTTTTAATTTGATTTCTCAGATACAATTACAAAAGCCTGCTGAGATTGGCTAACTCTCACTGAGACACACACCCAGCAAGAGATGGTGATTGGGGTCCAAGCCTACACTTATTCCACCAGGTCCTGTTTCAGGAAGCTTGGCCACCCTTAATCATATGCTTTCCTGTCATGTTTATGCTGTGTGTTGAAATGATGGGCTAAATGTATTAGTAAATAAATCTTTCTGTTCCTAATAGAAATGGCACTTCTGCTTTATGTATGCACATGCAGGGTATTTCACCACTAATGACAGTGCACTAAATTTGGGTATTTTAGAGGATGTCTATGATGGTGGGCCTCACAGGTCAACTTAAATGTATATGATAGCTAACTGCTTCCTGATGTATGTTGGCATACACAAAAAGGCTGAAATTACTCCATTAAGTGCACAGATTTCCCAGTTACTCTATGTTCCTCCTCTGTAACATGCTGTGAAAATGGGATAGTGATAGTTAGGGTACTACACTCTATAGGATCCCCTTTGGGATTTTTCAGTTTTACATAAGATTACTAACCATACAATGGTATCCCAACGCATAGTCATAGTACATACATGCTAGAACCTGCCATGCATTCATTTCAGTAACTTCTAAGATAGTGTGTGTGTGTGTGTGTGTGTGTGTGTGTGTGTGTGTGTGAATTTTACCCTAAATTTACAATTTTCTCAGTAGCTAAAGTTTAAGCAGGTACCTCAACAAAGCTACACATCGACGACATTTGTTTCTCCATATAAAGGCAATTATAAGTGTCTATTGTTTATCTTGAACTTTACTTCAAGATATTTCAGGTTATTGAAGAACAATGCAAGTTGAAAATCCAGAGTCCCTATTTGCTGGTTGAGTGGGCACTTGGTAGTTGGTTAGGAAGAGAACAAGAGAAGAAAACAAACACAATTTTATTTCTCCTCACAGAGTGTTGTCTACTTCCCTGCTCCTCTGATATTTTGCATTCAACATTGGGTTTGACTGACAAGAAAGTAGTTTTACTGTAAAAGGCAGGTTTTCCTCTGCCATAAAGCTCGTTTCCATGGTGCTGAATTTTTCACTTAAAAGCTATGTGTGGGTTCTTACATACAGAGTGTTAGTGCCCAGGCCAACAACAGGTCACACAGGGTCACAGAAGGGAAACATGTGTGCTGTATGTAAACATCGGTACGTGTGATGTTGCTTCACGCATTCTAGCTCACATTTAAAGGAACGAACTTTGATTATTTCGAGGTGTGAATCATAAGGTCAGGGAATGATGCTGGTTGCTTTCACTTTTGAAAACAACTTTCAAATGGTTGATTGTGATTGTTTAGGACTTGGCAGAGCCATTTCTAACACAGGGATGTCATTTTCAAAATTTGTAGCTCAAAAGCAAAACACCAATTGAGTTAATAATCACTGGAAATCATTACACATGTTCATTACTTTGTATTCTATTCATTATTGTTCTACTAAATTAAGCATCTTCGATTGCATCCAAAGTCCAGGCTTGAATATATCTTGGGCAAAGATTGTTTCAGTTATAATCAATCACGATTCTTTTAAAAAATGTTTGGAAATCTATCACTATAGGGTCTAAAGATAGAATAAATGCATATTTCCTCCATAGTCTAGACGAAACATGTAAAGTTAGTATTTGGAATTTTTCCTTTCCTTAAAAACTAAACTTCGTGTGTCTAAAGAAAATACCCTTCAAGCAGTAAGCTTATTTGCAGAGGGCAGGGGAGTCCATCATACTCAGTGACAAAAGCAAATAAGCAAGCAGAAGATTGAGTTTTTCTAAGGGGCTCACTCGTTGAAGATCAGTACTAGTGTAGTCACTGAGGGACATGAACTCCTCAGGAGCCTCGCTCTGAACTCTTTCACAAGTTGTCCTCACACTCAGTCAATTCCTAGAAAGAGTACGGCTTAGAAACCTAAGGTTTCTTCTTTTCTTTGCTATGTGAGAGATGGGAGAAGCTGACAGACATCTGTCAGCTGTCCACATTTCACCTATGGCTCTCCCTGTGATCATTGCTAATAAGAACAAGAACTAAGAAGGCACTTTGAAAATTGAAGTAGAGAACCCATATTAGTTGGATAGGAAAAGCTGAGAGTCAGTGCTCAAAGCCCAGACCTCTACCGACCAAATCCTGGTTGTGAGGGCTCTGCATGCAGTACATGAGTCCACGAGGGCCTTTCTGGTAGTGATGCTGACCTGTTTGTTCTTTTGTGAAACCCAAGTAGTTCCCGTAGTAGTCTCTTTTTAATCTCCTTGGAGATCTAAGCCTCACCTCTCCCAGGAAGTTATCTGGCTTGGGGATTAGATGCTGTTGAGTGGCTGGCAGGTGGGTAAGATTGGGAAGAGAAAGGAAACTTCAGTGTTCAATGACCATCCTTCCAGCTCCTTGCACTCTCAGACTCTCTCCAGTGGACACCTCCAGACTTCCCAGACTCCATACAGAAACATCCAATTTAGAGATAAAAACTTGGAGGCTCTGAGCTAATGGGCTTTGCTATATTCCCATGATGCTAGTGGGTGAGTGATTCTATTCTTAAAGGTTCTGACATGCTTGAGTGTAACCGGGACTGGTGGACTGATGGATATCCACTTAGGCATCTGAAAGAGAGATCTCACATCACCCCCTCAATCACTCAATTCAGGTGGTCAAAGGTGCGTGCAATCTGATGCCTAGAGTAGGAGCCAGCCCAATTGAGCCTGGATCTCCGCACTCTGCTCAGGATCTTGGATCTCAGATTGAAAAACCCGCCAACCATACATTCCGGGAAAGCCTGGCACCTGCCAGGAGGGAAGCAGTGACGCGACTCCCACTTTGTTGTGGAGCTTTGGGTGCGCACTGATCCCCACCACCCCGCAGCTCCTGTCCCCTCACCAGTGCCAGCGCGCGCGCTATCTTGCCCGGACCCGCTGCGCCCTCGCCGGCCACGGGGAGCTATAAGGACCCCTGGATCCGACAGCGTAGAGCGCTTCCAAGGGCTCACTCACCGATCCTGAGCACTTGCGGGGCGGTCTGAGGGAGGATGTAGCACAGGAAATAGAGGAGTGTCCAGCTGGTGTCCCTGGTCCAGAGCCCGGGCTGGATGAGGACTGTGCCGCGCTCCATCTTCCAAGCTTCTTAATTCATGCCGAGACACAGTCGTGGCCTCACGCCCGCGAGATGCACCCAACTTGGGCTGGGTCCCCACCTCATCCTCCCTGGATGCTCTCAGGCTGCACGCCGCGCACTCTCTGCTCTCAGGAGAGCGAGATGGAGGGAACCCGCGTGGGGACGTGGAGTGGGCTTGTGAGACTGAGCTGCTTGGGGCTTCATGCACCGGTCCTTAGCCCATCACTGCTCTCCCTCCTCCTCCTCCATGGGCTGCATACCTCCAAGAATCAGCAGGATCCCGCTCTTGGAGCTCAGAAACCAGCTGAGGAAAGTTGCTACCTCGATTTGCTGGAACGTCTCCCTCATTCGTCCTCTGGTCAGATGCAGAAATGATGGGTGGGGGAGTGGGTAGAGAATGCAGGGTGCAGTGAGAAAAGAAGAGAAAGGGGGGAAGAAGACATCCAAGGAGAGAGGGAACTGGGTGAGTTGGTGCAGCGCTCAGAAAAAGCAGGATGAGCTCCAGCAGGTTAACTGGGATATAAGCCCTGCTTTGGCTTCTTTCTCCGTCCTGCTTCCCTCCTCCCCTCTTGGCCCCACCCTTTATTTACTGCCCGCCCCGGCCAACCCTACTAACCCAGCCAGACACACTCACACAACCGCGTGCATATGCGCACGCGCCTGCGGACACACCACACACACACACACACACACACACACACACACACACACACACACACACACACACACACACACACACACACACACACACACACACACACACACATTTTCACCATGCACGCACACATGCAGTCACTCTTCAACTTTGCGCTGTGGTGCTGGAAAGTATATTGAGTCTTGTATCCCCAAGACAGATTAAATCTAACCCATTAGTCCCTAGGCAGAGGGAGTTCTGCTCTCTGTGAATGACAACCTTATCCCCAGGCGCCTCTGCGGGGGTCTCAGAGATGACTAGCACGTGATAGGAAATCACATCCTCCGAATGAGAGATTTAAGAAATTATCAGAGTTCTTATTTTTAACTCTAACAAGAATGAAGATTCAGGGAAAGAAGGAGGAAGAAGGAGAAATGGGTACCCTTCAGTCTTTTAAGATTATAGCGACTCTTCCTATATCTTCTGGACCCGACATAATGTCTTGGAAATTGCTTCCATTTACAAGCGCAGGACTCAGAACTAGGCAGTTTCAGGCACGCTGCTTTTCTTAATTTCTTTTGACTGTCACATTTGAACACTGGAAATAGGCTATTCTAACAATGTAGGTTTAGAGACCATTTCTCTGTAGAAGGACAAGGACACTTCCCTGGGGAAATCAGCATTTGCTCCTGTTGGCTTAATTTCCTTTGAGCTTTCTGGGAGAATGTTCCATATAAATGTTTGCTGGTTCTGTATGAGTACCTCAAGGTGCTTCCCCCTCCCCCAAGTAGGGATTTGGAAAGTTGATCTAAATTGAGTTAATTCATAAATGAAACACCCATAGTTATATGAGCCTAGAATGTGAAAAATTATAAATGCAGTATCTTACAATTCATTTATTCCACAAATGCATATTGGGTATTTTGTACCTCGTGGCAGAGACTATGTTTGTCAAAGAACCCATCATGAGAAAAACACACTGTCTCTTCCAGGGAGGCTGTAGTGTCACTGCTGGAAGCCAGTAGGTCACACTGCATGTGTGTAGTTCTCAATTTTTTGTGGATCAGCGTTGAGGAAATAGAACATACACTCGGATAAGAAAATCATTTGTACAGATTTGGGGTTCACCTTACCTATGATCAAGGACATAGGTAGCTATTTGCAGAAACTTCAATTTCTTGTATTGAAGAGAGGGGACTTTCTTAGTGTTGGCTAAAGGAGAAGAAATGCAAAAGTAAAAATAGTAGATGGAAATTGGAGAAGAAAAATCAACGTCAACTTATTTTAGATCGTTTCTAAAACCAGATCAAATCATACAATGATATGATCTGTCTCAGAAGACAGCCATACTCTACATCCATCCATCCATCCATCCATCCATCCATCCATCCATCCACCCACCCATCCATCCATCCACCCCCATCCATCCATCCACCCATCTGTCCATCCATCCACTCATCCATCCACCCATCCATTCATCCATCTATTCACCCATGAAATGAAACTTTTGAGGACCTACTTCCTGTGAAACGTTGTGCCAAGCCATGAACACACAGCAGGAATATGGTTGCTGCTAGCAGGAAGCACATAGCCTTTAAAGAAATGTGGATTCTGTTGATACAGCTCAGTGGTAGAGTTCCTACTTGGTAGACATAAAGCTCTGGGTTCTCTCTCCAACATTAAAAAATATCAATGTCAGAAAAGCATACTGTAGGTGCAAATAAAAGAAGGAACCTGACCTCATTTAGGAGTTTGTGAAGGGTTGTTAATTTATTGATCCTTAAATGAACGACTAGTAAATATTTCTTAAAGCAAGAATTTAAAAAAAAGCTATCAACTTATTTTTAATCTTGAGATTTTTATTAAGCATATTGAGTCATTTATCTTTTCTTGGGTATCCAAATCCAAGGAATAGTGGGTGTGATGTGTGACAAGTCTTGGGAATGCAAGGTTGAGAATTCAGTTGGCTTCTGAGCACCTGCTTTGGTCTAGGTTCTAGCATATTCTAGTTTTTGTTTTTCCTTCAAGTTTGATAATTTCTTTTTTTAAAAAATCTCTCACTAGCAGCTTGTGTGTGCTTATTCATGTCTAGACTTCTTCTTACCTTGGCTTGCACAGACTATACCTTTTCTTTTAAGAAGAATCCTGTAATGATAGTCAAGGAAATGTGTGTGGCAGTACTATGCTGCACTTACAGGGAAAGAGTATTCCCACTTGGTCCTCCTGTATGCTAATATCCATTTGGAAAAAAGCCAGAAAACCAAACTTCTAAAGATCTAGATGGAAGTGACATCGATGCCACAGTCATCTCTTGTGGGAAAATTGTTCTGGATAATCACAGGGACAGCAAACATGTAAAGCAGTGACAACTTAACTTTAGGTTCTCATTCTGTATGATTATAACATACTTGTTACTCAGCACACACTAATCTGTCTGACTAGTACACTCTCCAAGCTATAATATCCTTATATATAACAAGAAAGTAATAATAATACAAAAGGACCGTTGAAACACTAAGACACATATAGTAATTATTTCCCACAACCTTTATTACTCAGTATATGAGTTCTTTTTTGCTGGTTACATTTTGGCTCAAGGACTCCATACCTACATTATATATTTTTTTTTTAGTATAAATAGTCCCAAAGGAAGATGACCAAGACATTTTTGTCTGTTGAAAAATAAGTTAAGAAAACTGGCCCAATTAATAGTATGATAATAGTAACCGTTTTCTGTATCCAAACACTATTTAAGTAAATTTTACTACTTTTCAAGCACGTAACCTTTAAGGTATGAGTAAATTTTTCCTTCTCATTGTTAGAGAGAAATTGGATTCTGCAGGAGTCTTAAAGAATACATGGCTCACTTATGTTACCTTTCAGTATCGCCTGTAGGATACTGTAAAGCTCAACACAGAAATTTATCTCCTTGTTAAAATGCTTCTCTCTGCTAGTCATGCACGCAGATTTGTGGTGCTGAGTTCCTCATGAGTGGTCGTCAGCTGCTGCTAATTTGTTCTGTGCTTTTCAGAAGCAATGGATTCTGTGAATCCATGAATCTAGTTATATTTTTGATCCCAAACTGGTCATGGTGGTCACAGTGTCCTCCTAAGAATCAAAAGTGTTCAGTGGAGTGCATCCTCTCCCATTTTCAAATCTCAGTCTTATGCTTTGAACCAGGCACCGTGGCTGATAACAAAGCATCACCATATGAACACAGTATTGTGCTTCCTGGGAAGGTTGGAGACATTACTTAAATGCAGATCCGTTTTCAAACACTAAAATTCTAGATGATGACTAGGTGCAAAAAAAAAATCTTACAGTAAACTAAGGAGCTAAATGCTATAACTATGTTTTCTAAATGTGGTGAGTGCACTTGAAGGTACTTACAATATTAGCCAGGGCACTTGCTGCAAAACATCAAGTGGTTTTTGGAGCTTCCTAGGAATGTGTCATTGCATTAGGATGAACGCCCCATGTTTTTGGCTACATCTTTCTTCTTCTTCTTCTTTTTTAAAATGAAGTGATGTCATGTGTTTTTATGATGTTAAACATGGTTTAAGCCAAGGTTCCAATTCTTTTTCTCTGCTCAAATCCTCTTCATCAACTGCCAATTCTCACAGCCAGCTTTAGCCACCATTTGCAAACGACACAGCATCTCATGCTCATTTCAATGCGAGTACAGCCATCCATCCAGCCATCAAAACTGGAGATTTGGAGGTCACTCTTGATTTGCCCTTGCAGTTTCCCGTTGCTATGCAGTTGATTTTCATATGTTACTGGGTTAAGCTCTAAGCCATGTCTTTAATCTACTTCTCTGTAACTTTACTGCTATCACAGTAGCCTAGGGGTTTCTAACTTCAAAACTCTGAACACTTTGGAACAGAAACTCGTGGCTGTGGAAGCTGTCCTGTGCATTTCAGATCATAAAACCACTTTCCTATACTCTCTCCACTAGATGTCAGTAGTACTTCCTCCTTAGTTACAACCAACAATATCTACAGACAGCGTCAAAGGGTGCTAAAGTACAAAATCACCTTGTTGGAACCACTACACTAGCACAAGTAATTATGATCTTCCAACCGCTTTGTTATTGCATACTGTTCTATGTCCCCCTCCCTGGTTTTCTTTCTTCTAGTAACACTGTTCATTTGACTTAAACTGCCTCCTCTGTTGTCCTATGTGATATTCTGCTAAATTCCATCATGCTTACCATCAACTCTCTAATCATTTTATTTATTATATTAAATATTGAACTCTTTGTCTGCTGTTTACCCAGAACTCCAGGGTCCAGTCCTATGTCTGGCATCAAGGTGGGGCCTGGTTAATACTCATCAAACAAATACATAGGTGAATAAATAATATATGCCTCACAAATCATGTAGCCTACAGTCCATATCTATAGTTGTGCTTGAACAAACTGAGTCATAAGCTACAATTCTATTTTAATTTCATTCATCTACATTGATGAGTTTAATATTTATTGTTATCTTCAGATTATGAATATAGTGTGCCATACGTAGGAAATCTTGACTATAATCTTCAGTGTGTTTCTTTAGATTTCAACAAAACACTGTGCAGAATAGTTTTCTCCTCAACATTTCATTTTCCACATCATGTTTATCATTACACATACCTTACAATTTTTACTATAATTTCCTTATACACACTGCTGAGCTTTTCAAAGCATGGTAGGAAGCAGCTGTACTGAAATCTCTGAAAGAAAAAACGCATCTTGTTTATTCATACCTTTGCATTTGTTGTAACATCCCAGCAATGTAAAGAAATGGAGCCACATGGATAGTCCTAATCAAGTTGACACTTGGCTACTTCCATGAATAAATGGAGCTCATTGGCAAATAAGACTGGAAATGGTGAGGCCTGGCACTCTGTGTCTCAGTGCTCCCTGGAAGCCACTGACCACAGCCCAGTGTTTTAGACATA